GAGTCGTGCGACACGATGATGGAGGTGACCTGGGTGAGGCCCGTGAGGTAGGCCTCCAGCCAGGCCACGTTGGCCACGTCGAGGTGGTTGGTGGGCTCGTCCAGCAGCAGGATGTCCGCCTTCATCAACATGGCCCTGTGGAGTGAGGGGGGGGGGGGTGGGAGTGGGGGTTGGCACGAAGAAGCCAGGAGCCTGCAAGGGAGCCACACAAAACAGACTTGCATCTCTGCACACACAGCCACTAGCGCAGCGGACAGGACGTCGCGGCCCACAGCCCTTGTGCTGCTCTGCACGTGCGGCTGCATCAACGCAACCAAGGCCTCACGCAGCGTGGCAACCGCTGGCAAATTGCTGGATGACCTCGCGCGCGCTTCACGCCGCCTCCATCCCAATTCAGACAACATGCCCCCTGCTCTCACACCTGGCGAGGGCGAGCTTCATCTTCCAGCCGCCCGAGAGGGCGGTGATGACCATCGCAAGCATCTCCTGGGTGAAGCCGATGCCCGTCAGCTGCGCCTCGATCTGCTCCCGGCTCACGTCCAGGCCGCCAGAGTGCAGCAGGGGGTCGGCAAACACAAAGTCGACGACGTTGAGGTCCGCCAGGGAGGCCTGGATGTCGTGCTCAACGTACACGGTGCGCAGCTCGTCGGCCGGGGGGAAGCCGTCCACCTGGCCGTTGGAGATGGCGCGCATCAGCGTCGACTTGCCCACGCCGTTGGGGCCGCAGAGGCCGTAGCGGTGGCCGCGCAGCAGGCGCATGGTGGCGTTGTTGAGCAGGATCTTGGCACCGTAGGCCAGGCTGAAGTCGCAGTTGCACAGCTCCTCGCCCTCGTCCTCCTCCACCACGCGCGCGGCGGCGGCCTCGCGCTCGGCCTCCTCCACGGCGCGCGCCAGGTAGGCGCGCGTCACCTGCAGGTTGATTCCATTGCAGCAGGACGGTCAATGCGAGCAGGGCAGCGGGGATGCGACGGGGAGGTGCAGACAAAAGCAAGGGTGGTCTGGACATGGCAGCAGCTTCCCCGAGTGCAGGTACCCCCAACATTATCAGCCCCACTGATTTGACCGCAGCCGCACATCATGTGGCTACAGCCTCACACACGCCCGTAGACGGCCAGCCCTCAACCCTAACTGACAACTGCACCCACCGCCTCGGCATCGGCCTCGGGGATGAAGGTGGAAAGGTACGAGCCGGCCGCCGAGCCGTTCCACTCATCAAACTCAAACGCCTTGATGTCCTGCAGCGCGGCGCACAGAGTGGCCACGTAGGCCAGGGTCACGGCAAACACCTCGTCGGCTGCGGCTGCTGGCTGGCGGGCCGCGATGAGCGCCTTGAGCGACTCGGCCACGGCGGCGGGGTCCTTCTTCTTGGGCGGCACGGTCTTGCCCTCGTTGCCGACGCGGTTGAGCTCCTTGTGGGCGCGCTGGGCCACGCTCCGGCACTCGGGGTCGGCGACCTCGTTGGCCACCTTCTCCAGGCCTAGACGGTGTCAGGGGGGAGGGGAGGGAAGGGGAGGGGGAGGTTTAAAAACCGGGGTGGGAACACTGCGCGGGTGCCAGCAGGTGCCAGTCCTGATGCGTGACACTTTGGAGCGCATTCCACTCGTCTGCTGCAACATCCGGTAGGGTTGGCCAGAGATGCGAGGCTGTTGGCTGGCGGAGTGTCCTAACGCGCCTTGCACGCTCCCCTGCAGGCTCCACTCGCAAGTTTCTATGTGTTTCCCTTCCCCACGCTCCTCCCCACAAAGCAACCTGCGCTCACCGGGCAGCAGCTTGGGCAGGAAGGGCACCGCGTCCAGGGGGTTGTCCACCAGCTTGGCCATGTTCTCAACGATAAGGCAGGCCTTGCGCTTGATGGCGGTGGTGTTGTCCTGGCGCAGGCCGCGCACCAGCAGGGGCACCTGGGGAAGGGGGTTGGGGGCGCTGAGGGTCAGCAAATGGAGGCGGGCTTGTCAAGCCGCTAGCTGAGTGGCTGATGAGTTCAGACAGGCAGGGCTGACAACAGCTGCGCCTGCAGGCAGCCTGTGCAGACGCCATTCATGCCCCTCCAGTGCCCAGACAGCTGCCTGGCTGCCTGAACTACACCCTGCTGACATGTGTGCCCTGCACACGCACCATGATAGACAGGGTGGGGGCCTCAACGGTCTGCACAAACGTGGTGGAGGCGAGCTTGTGCACGGTGTCGGGCACGGTGGAGGGGTTCTGCAGGCAGTTGACCAGGATGGGGATGAACTGCTCGATGTCGCGGTTGCCGACCACAAACATGCACTTGGTCATGGCCTCCACGGCGGCGTCCTTGACGGCCTGGCGGGCGTTGCCCAGGGCCTCGGTCACGACGGGCACAATCTCGGGCAGGCACAGCGCCACCTGGCGGGGCGCGCGGTCGGTCAGCGCGCTGAGCATCTTGCAGGCGCCCTCGTTGGACTGCCACTTCTGCGCCAGCATGGCCTCAAACAGGGTCGGCAGCACGGCGGCGATGCCGTGGGGGTTGAGCAGCGCCTCCAGCGACGCCTGCGCCTTCTGCGCCGCCGCACGCACGGGCGCCGCCTTGTCGGGCAGGGCGGCGAGCACGGGGCCCAGCAGGGGCATAAGGTAGGGCTCCGCGGGGCGGCCCACACGCTCCGCGACGGCGGCGATCGCCAGCAGGGCGCCCTCGCGCGCGGCGGCGTCCTTGGACTCCACGCCAGACTTGAGCTGGCCCAGGGCGCCGCTGGTGGTCAGCGACGCAATGCCCGAAGCCTGCACTGCCGACGCAAGGTCGGCAGCAGCGGCCACACGGTCGCCTAGTAGTAGGCAGAGCGAGCGATTGCACAGGTTAGTTTCAAGCACAAACTGCTGTGGCGCCACGCCAAAGGGGGAGGGTGCGGACTGAGCGAGCGCAGCGCCCGCCGAGTGGGCGGGCAGTGCCTGGAGAAGAGGGTCCAATATGGAGAGTGCTCAAAACCTGCAGATGTTGCTGCAAACGCGGGCGGCGTTCCGGCGCCGCCAGGGCGCAGCGCCATGATGCGTGCGAGCATGCACCCGGTCCAAATCATAGGGTGTGCGCTCAGGCGCTGCGACGGGATCGCACCATCGGCCGCCGACAGCTTCGCGAATGCAGCTGTGAGCTCGGGGGCTGTCACGGTCTCGGCCATCTTCTTTACTGCGAAAGGACGAGGGAGGGGGCCCTTTGATGGTTGGCGCGCTGCGCACCCTGAGCCTCTGGATGCCCGCGTAGGGTCCCCAGTGAAGGAAGAGTTGCGCGTGCAATTTCAAGCCATATACAAGGTGAAAAGGCCTGCCAGGTCGTGACCGAAAAGTGCTGCCGCCCGCGGTCCAACATGGCCTCAGGACGAGCCACGCATGCAATGAAGGGGATCATACTCCTGTAATATGCCGCGAGTTCGACGCAGGGCTCACCTACGAGAGCGGTCTCCGTGTGCCCAGCAGGTCGCCCTGAAAGAAGGCCGACGAGCTTTATGGGGCGGAGCAACAGGTAAACCTACGATAATCAGGGCCCAAGGTAAAGGGACAATAAGGCGTGACGGCAACTAAACGCGGCCGGCGAACGTGGGCGCGTAGCACGCTGGAAGCTGCCCAGTGGGCACACAATAGCATCCCTCGGGGCTGACGGCTGGTGCTCCGCGCAGCAAGAGCGTGCGGCCAGGTGGTGCTTTGCACGCAGGCCGTATACTGGCGGTATCCGCCATGCGTTTGTACCAGATGCGCTCGGTCATCGGTTGGGGTGGTACACGTTCCGAAGAGGCGAGCGGCACACCACGGCCCCTGCTGACAGGCTGCGCGCTGGAATCATTGGCATGGTCGCAACACCTGTGCAATGCATGCGCCATGCACGACAATTGCGCACTAGTCGGACCCCTGGACATCCCCCGAGGAGGCATGCCGTCGCCGAGGATGAGGCTGCAGATTGCGCGGCTGCATGCCACCAACGCCCAGGAGACCAACGTGCACGTGTTACAAATGCACAAGAAAAGTCCACTTTTCACGCTCTAGCATATAGCGCTTCCCTCAGTGGCACAATATTGCCACACGTCACGGGGAGAGCTCTTCAGGCCTTGGGCACAGCTGGGCCTGATTAATGCGGGAGAGAATACAAAAGTCTGCGTGAGCTATGCGCCACCACCACGACAACCACATGCTGTGAAGATATGGTCGTGAGAAGCAGATCAATCCTGCAATCACACAGAACACCCAGCCATGGCCAACCGCTCGCACCTGTGCTGCTTGCTGTTGGTGGTCGCAGAGCAAGGCCCTGGGCCTGTCCTCCCGAAGGTTGCTGCCCTGGCGGTCGCCCCTGGCGCAATTGTTGCTGCTGCCGCAGCAGCTGCTGCTGTTGCTGCTGCTGCATGAGTAGCGCCTGCTGCTGTGGCTGCTGCAGGTGGTGGCAACGAACGTGGCCGGGTTGCGACCAGGAAGCTCATGAGCAGCCCATCCAGTTGCGGCGGGTGAGTACGCAACTAGCCAACGGGGCAGCGCATGCATGCCAAAAAAGAGTCCCACCTGGGATCAGGTCTGGGCTAGAGGAGCGGCAGTAAACGCCTGAAGTCATCGTCGGCGGGGTGTACAAAGCAGAAACGCATAGGCCCAGGGATTTGCCCTGACCCACCCCACCGCGGTCCATCCTAGTCCCACCACGGCCATCCAAGCCGCTTCCCGTGTCAAGCTCACGCCAACAGCAGGCAACCAAGCCCACCTGGCTGGCCGACGAAACAGGTGGCTGCTGCTGCTGCTGCTGCTGTTGCTGCTGCTGCTGCGCAAGCTGGTGATGATGCATTCGCTCATATTGCTGCTGCTGCTGTAGGCTAGCCGCCTTGGTTTGCTGGCACTTGTCCTGCAAATGCCGCGCCGGTTAGGTGTTGAGGTGCATTCACATAGGAAGTTCTAGAAACATGGGTTGTGTACCAGACATATTACAACAGTGACGCGACGCTGCAGGAGTTCTGGATGCCCGGGGAAGGCGAGCGAAACACAGTGCAGACAGCCAGGGTTGGTACTTGTAAGCAGCACCAGCTCACCTGAAAGTGGCGTATCGCTGTTTGCCAGTGCAGTTACAGATTGAAGGATGGGCAACGGAGAAGATCAGCACAAGGAACAGTCTGAACCAACATCCGGGCACCATACCTGCACATTTCAGCTGGCAGAATGATGCACCCCCCCACCAGGGGTATGCATTGGGGGCATGTGCAAGTGCATGCACCTCTCACCTGTGACCGCGCGCTGCAGGTCGTCCAGGTTCGGAGAGGCCTCGGGGCGTACCATGGGACCAATGAGCTTCTCTATCAGAGCCGCGTCCGCCTCGAGCGCCTTCCACATCGTTGTCAGGTCGGCCTGCGGCTGTCGAGACATTGCGCGATGTGTGCGCTGCTGCAGGCTGCTGTGGCGCTGTGCTTGTGCTGCTACTCCTGCTCCTGCTCCTGCTATCAATGCCTGCTGCCGCCGCGGCGCCAATAGTCAAAAGTGAACTTGTTCGTTAGCTGTGAAGCACCAAAAGCAAGTCTGATCTGTGAGGCGCTGTAGGTGCCACAACAGCAAATATAATGCACTGTCGTGTACTGATCACGACGGTATGGTACTTGCACGCAGGAGCTCAACCTGTGACAACAATACGATACACGCGCCTCAGTCATTTGGACACTGCAGCATGTCGCAGCTCGACAGCTTTCTTCTCGAGCTTCGACATCGGTCTGGTATTCCATTAAGTTCCTCAAAGTCCTTCTAGCATACAGCCCGTGTTTTCTCGACACCAGCATGTTGATCTTTGCCACCAGTGCTTCGCAGAGGGCCGTGGCCGCTCTGAGTGTGGGCCTGAAGGGCCTAACGACGTCTGCGGCTATCAAAAGTGAGTCAAAAGGACTACTGTTCCGTCGCTGGCCCCCGCGACCCCAACCAAAGCCAAGCTGACCTCCTCGTGCTCTGCCACTGCCGTTCGCATACCGCATACGATGTACAGATGGCAGCAGTAGCACCTCTACCTACACGTCTGCCTCACCTGGTGCGTCTTATCATGCGCTTGAAGCTGGGGCGGCGCCCTCTGCCTCGGCTCGTCCTGCTGTAGCCGCGCCGCAAACCCTCGCTCACCCTGGGTGCCTGTTTGAACATTTTTGAGGCAGCATGCGCATAAACGTGTCTGAAGTGCGCGTGCAAGGCGGGCGACTAGCGTGCTCGTCACACGCATGCATTACATTGTGTCCACAGCGGCATGATTTGCCACTTTTCGTGTTGTGTGGTGGAAGAACCCCAGCCTACCTTGTTAGTGCCACAACCTTGCATAGGCTCCAGCATACATGAGCCTGGGTACGAGGCGTCCAGCAGTGGGGTGGACGGCGGCGACAGCAAGCAGGAGGCGGCCATGCCGGAGGTGGCCGGCCGCGTGACGCCGAGCAAGAAGGCCAGCATGCTGAAGGGCCTCGTCAACTCGCGCAAGCGCAAGCTGACTGTGCAGGGCGCGGGCGTGCAGGTGCGGGGCTCTCAACAATCACATCGCTACAAGCGCAAGGCCAGTCTCAAGCAGAGGGGCAGCTTGGGTCCCTCTCAGGGCTTGCAAAGCCACTCGTCTGTGTCAGGCGCAGTGCTGCACCTTGCTGGCCTGGTGGCAACATCGTGGTTGTCGACCCATCTGCACGGCCCTGCTCTTGGCGCAGATGCTCCCACCGGGCTGCAGCATCAGCGACCCGAGCTACTCCATCAAGGTGGGTGGAAGGAGCAGCCGCTAGGCGAGCAGAAGCGCCAGAGCAACAACATCGGCTGGCTTTTCTTGCAGCATCATGCATCATGTTGCAGCATCGTGCATCATGCAGCAACATACTACCGTCGTGGCGTGTGAGCAGCTCAGCTTATTGCAACGAGGGCCGGCACGTGCTGCAATAACAATGTCGTACCCTCTCAGTACAACAGTGACGATTGATCGTGAGTTGAGACTCACTCTTTCTCTGCCTTGCTCAACATCTACCTATCATCGGCCTCACCCATCCACATTCAACATTGCCTTCAGGATCCTGTGTATTTTGCGGTAGGTGTATCTGGCATGTGCAGCCATGGACGATCCCTGATATCTACATGGGTGTTTGCTTCTGCATGCATTCCCACAATTTCACACTGGCTACAAGGACACAGCACTGATGCAGTGCTTTGTTTTTCCCTCCGCAGGACGTGGAGAAGTAATTGCGCCGCAAGGCAGCGTCCACAGCACCGCTGCTGCGAGGCCGTCGCAATATTGGGGCCTTCATAGGGCCTTCATGCACAGGAGGAATCTGTCGCTGTCGCCATTTGGTACAGCTTCCTTCCCTGGGCTAAGGGAGTGCGGTTGTGAAACCATCTGGTGTATGCGCTGGCATCAGCCATCGCGGGTGCTTATTTTTTGCCGCTGTGCTCGCTCATTTTTCATCTTCAGCGCCCTTCGCGCATCCGCAACTTCAGACGCACGCATTTGTAACACCACCTTGCATGTATGGATTGTTGATGGTGGCGCTCACCGGAGGAGGGAGTATGAGAAGGGGGAGGCACGACGATGCTCGCGAGATGCAGCACTGCAGGCACCCGAAATGTGAACCACGGAGTCACCTGGGACTACCGCCGGCATTGTATAACATAGTTGTGTGCTGGGACAGGAAGATATGCAATAAGCAAGCGAGATCACGGTTTCGGCGCGCTTTGATCATGATTATCACGTGCATCATATCTCGCACGGCAAGCACGCCCAAGCCCATTGGCTTGTCTTTGTATCTAAAGTGACAAACAGCACCGCGCTCCATCTGTGATATTGATCTCGTACGAGCACAGCACGCGCGTCTCAGCCTCTTTGCACAACGTAGCATACGCATACGGATCGTTATTGTGTAGCAGGTGGCGCTGTGCCGTTGCTTTGCGGTTGCCACAGAGTTTAGTGGCGGGCGGGGGACAGGGCCCGCCCGTGCTGCGTGCCGACAACATAGCACGACCAGCAGCATGCCCCCGAAGGCAGCGAAACCGGGCCAGCGCTCGATCACCGCCTTCTTTGGCACTTCGGCAGCAAAGCGCAAGGAACCTTCAGCATCCCAGCGTGAGGAAGCCCATGGAGAGGCCACCCACACGAAAACGCCACCTGCTAAGCGCCAGCAGCGCGGGCAGCAGGCGCATGGCGGGTCGAGCGAGCAGCAGCCACCATCGCCACCGGTGGAGCAGCGTCTCCTGCAGCCGCCCTCGCCCGCTCCCGCACCCTCACTCGACGCTGCGGCCGCCGCCTTCCCGGCTAACCGCGACCAGCGGCGCCGGGCGCGCGCGCAAGCCAAGCTGGTGGGTGCCGCCGACAGCAGGAGCCTGGCCATGCCGGCAGGGCCCGGTGGGATGGGCGGCGGCGGCGGCGGCGGCGGTGCACGACCCAAATATACACCCCTAGAAGAGCAGGTAATCAGGGCAGGGCTGGGGGTTGGGCGTGTTGGCCTCTCTCTCCGTTTGGGGGGAGACCAGTCATGCTTCGTGGCCGAACGCCACGAAGGCGGAGTGATGCTGACATGTCCGGCAGCAGCAGGGGCTGTTGTCAACGTGTGGCGGGCACCAGTGGCGGCGTGTGGCGGGCACTGCCGCCCTGCGCGGTGTGTCTGTGTGCGGGACCGCATGATCCCCCGCCCTTCACCCCCTTGCCCCGCGCTTCACGGCCCGGCCCCGCCCCGCCCCGCTGCAGGTGGTGGCCCTGCGGCGCGCCCACCCCGGGGTGCTGCTGGCGGTGGAGGTCGGCTACAAGATGAGGTGAGGCCGCTGCCGTATGCCTGGGTGCGGTTGGAAGTGATCGTGCAGGCCTTCAGAGGGATTGGGAAAGGGCACGTGACCTCAGGAGGGTGGGTCAGCCAGAGAAGGGGTCGGCCGCCTGTTGTTGCCCCCCCCCCCGGCAACCCGCTGATGCACACCGCCGCTGTCTCCTCTTCACTCATCCTGCGCGCAACTCCCCGCCTTTCCCCCCCCTGGGCGCAACCCGCTGGCGCCAGGTTTTTTGGGGAGGACGCCGAGGCGGCGGCGCGCGAGCTGGGGCTCCACGCCTACCCTGACCACAACTTCCTCACGGCTTCCATCCCTGTGCAGCGGCTCCCGGTGCACGTGCGGCGCCTGGTGCAGGCCGGCTACAAGGTGCGGCCACAGTGCTGGGGCTGCGGGGTAACCGCACAGGTCATGTGACGTTCCAAATGAGCAGTGGGCCTCTGTGCGCATAGTTAGCTCGCCGGCGCTGGCCACGCATGAGGAGGCCATTGGGCATCACGACACACTGCGGCTCCGCCAGTGTGTGGTTTGTCGCAGCTGCTCTGTGCGTCTTTCCGTGTTGGGTGCTTCTCCGATGCGCCCTCTGGGGGGGGGGGGGGGGGGGACAACAACGAACCTGCCACCCACTCCTTCAGGTGGGCGTGTGCCGTCAGACCGAGACGGCGGCCCTCAAGGCTGTGTCCGCCAACCGCAGCGCACCCTTTGAGCGGCGGCTCACGGCTCTGTACACCGCCGCTACCCTCGACGCCGGGGAGCGCGCTGACAAAATAGGCGAGCTGCCCGGGCGGCTGCCGGCTGCTCGCTCGCCGTCGTGGGGACGGTACACCGGGGTTGGGGCTGGCGGCCATGCCATGCAATTGAGCTGCCCGGCCGCCTCTCTCGCCTCCACTAACAGCGGCACAGTGTGTCGCTCTTTACTTTCCCTGCCACCACCCGTCACCCCACCGCCGGCCCCCCACCTGCAACCTACAACCACAAACTTCAACCTCACCCTCACAC